GAGAGAGAGAGAGAGAGAGAGAGAGAGAGAGAGAGAGAGAGAGAGAGAGATGAAGACGAAGGGGACATGGTGGCGGCGACGTTCGAGCCCCAAGACGGGCACGTGCGCGTCGGCTGTCCCTCGGGTGTGCACTGGTGCCGGTTGTTGCTGACCCCGGTCGGCAGCTCCCAAACCCCACCGACGGACGGACGCCCAAAGTTGGACGCCCGACAGGCCACTGCAGACCCTCCCTGGCAGGACCCGGTACCGTTTCCACTGCGCATGTGCAACCGACGAACGAAATGTGGACCCGCGCTTGGCCGCCTAGCGGAACAAAACGAAAAAAAAAACAAATAATCGGAGAAAATTATTAGATGCCGAGCCTCTGGTACATCCGAACTCTTCGGGGAAAACGGGAAAACGTCCACTTTTCCCTAATTTCCCAACACTGGTGGAGGTACTAGTGGTTTAAGTTTTTTTTTTTTAAATATATTCAAAGTTTTGAAAACAAAATAAAAATTATGGAGTTGTAGATTTTAAAAAGAACTACAACCCTATATTTTATTGTTGTTTTTTTGCGTAGTTGTTCCCCACAAGAAAAATATTTGTGAAAAAAAAGAAAAACCCACTCATTTCATCGTTTTTTTTTTTTTTTTTTTTTTTTTTTTTTTTTTTTTTTTGAAGTTCAAAAAATAAAACAAAAAATAATGAGTTTGTAGATCTCAAAAAGATCTACAGCCCTCTATTTTTTGTTTTTTTTTTGCTTATTTTTATCCGTGAAAAAAAATATTTATGGATCGCGGTGAATCGCGATAAACTTGTGGTTCAGCGCCAATTTACCGGGTTTTCAACGCGCGTTGATTGAAAGATTCAACACGGGACCTGCGTTGAATCCATTTCCAGACGCTCAGACAGACCATGCTGTAAAGCAAGGAGAAGAATTAGGCCTGCATGTGTCTGTGTCTGTGTGTGTGTGAGAGAGCGAGAGAGAGAGAGAGCAATACATACAGCCAAACAGCCAAACAAACAGACATATGGAAACTGATGGATGTGTGTGTGTGTGTGTACGTGTAAGAGAGAGAGAGAGAGAGAGAGAGAGAGAGAGAGAGAGAGGCACACAAACAGACATAGATGTATACTGATGAATGTGGGAACAGAGGGAGAGAAAGAGACAGTGGAATGTATACAAAAAGACATGTATACTGATGAATGTGGGGACACGGAAAAGGGGAGGGGGGAGAGAGAGAGAGAGAGAGAGAGAGAGAGAGAGAGAGAGAGAGAGAGAGAGAGAGAGAGAGAGAGAGAGAGAGAGAGAGAGAGAGNTATTGCTGTGTTCTTATTTGGTATAACTCGTGATGCCATTCTGCTTATGGTTCGAGGTCATGGCTATTTGGTCACTCATGTATGATGCTGTTTGAGTTCTGGAATTCGCTATTGCTCATCTTCCTTGCAATAGATTGGCGTCATCCGCATGGGCTGGCCCTCCGTCCAGAGGGGACTTCCTCTCCTCCCTGATGCGCAGCGGCCTGCACACGTCAGTATTTAAGAAGGAAAAACACCATGATCTCCAAACCTCTTTTGTCAAACCTGCATTTGCGCGACCCTTGGCTTGCTGAATCTCAGATGTAGGCGCCAAGAGCTTGTCATTTTGTTTTGTGATGATTGATATCATCAAGAGCGGCATTGGATCAATTTGGATGGCAGAGGTTGGTGGCTGCAGTTCTTGCCTTTAAGCTGCACCATGGTCCCTTCTATATCAGCGCAAAATAAGGAGGCCTTCCAAACTGCCAAACAACAATGTCCCCCCTGGTATAAATGGTGCAATGATGCAATCCAAGGCGGCCATTGCAGGGAGTTCGACTCCACCAGATGCCCCCGCGCCCCCCCCCCTTCTAGTGGTGCAATCCAAGAAGGGTGTCAAACATGGTGACGGTAATACCATCACTACCTTCGACAACCTTCTTGGACTGCGTCGGTATACAAGGGGGCTGTGATATGGTCCAGTAGCAGCAGCAGGGAGGCAGCCTAGAATGGATACAAAAAAAAAAAAAAAAAAAAAAAACTCCTGTGGTTCCAAACCATGGTTACCCTTGGGCCGCACCTCAAGACAAATATGGACGGTCCGGATCCAAAGTGTCTGGATAGCATCCGGATGTCCGGATTGATCCGGACAAGGTGTGCACCCTCAAAAAGAAAGAAAAAAAATAAATCGTTTTTTTTTGTTTTTTCTCCTTGTATTAGGCTATGAATTCCACAATGACTGTGGCATACTCAGATCCACACGCCCCCGCAAGGCCCGACAGTAGGGTTAGGGGTTTCGTAGGGTTTAGGGTCTGTGTCATCCGTAGGACCCAGTAAGCCACTATCTCGTTTTTGCCATCTTCCCACTTTTGGCATCGACCAGACCTATGCAAAACCAGGTTACGACTTTTGGGATCGACCAGACCTATGCAAATTGGCGCCAGACTTTTCGTATTTTCGCTTGTTTCCTAGTTTCTGCAAATGGGCGCCAGACTTTTCGTATCTTCGCCTGGCCCCTACTTTTTGCCATTTTTCGGTTTTGGCGCCAGAACAGACTTCTGTTCTTGGCGCCCGACCAGTTTTTGTTTCGACCAGACTGTTTCCTTTCGACCTAGGACACTAGGCCCACCGTATATATAGCTGGGTCGACCTCATTTCTAGGCAGGTAGTTCTTCAGGCAGTTCACTGAGGTAGTGCTAGGCACTTCTCAGTGGTAGGTCTGAGGTAGTGGTGACTAGTCTTCAATAGTCGATGCGCTGGGCACAGTTAGATAGTCTACAGCACTGGACGTGAGCTAGGAGTTGGAGCACTGCACTGCACTGCAGCGAGAGAGAATGAGAGACGGGCCGAGGCCAGGAGGACTTACCTGCGACTTACCTGCGATGACATAGCTCCAGCTTCGTCTTCAGGACGTCCACACCTGCATCAAGGCGGTACCTTCCTGAAGGTTTGTACCTGGCATACATACACACAGAGAGAGAGAGAGAGAGGATTTCTTCTTCTTCTTTCTGCCTGATCTCCATCGCCCCTCCTCTTCCCCTTGGGGTTCTTCTTCTTCTTCTTCTTCTGCTGCTGCTGCTGCTGCTGCTGCTGCTGCTGCTGAGATACAAGAGAGAGAGAGAGAGAGAGAGAGAGCTGTCTCTTATACACATCTAGATGTGTATAAGAGACAGCAACCGGCATGATATGTCTAAGCCTGCCTCTGGAAAAAAGTAGCTGTGCTTCTGCAAAGTATTGTATGTACCTACGGTCACCAAAAGGGTCTTTTGTTATTGCTTTTTGTTTCCAAATGCTGGTGAGATACATGCATCTCGGAGAACGAGAAACCCTTTTTGTGAGAACTGAGAAAGGTCCTCTAGGATGTATGGTTGTGAACAAAGAGCATTTGTGCATCGCCATTGTTCTCAAGCCTTTTAATCTTGGTGGGACAAAATCCATCTGTCTGACACCTGTTACATCTTGTCTGGTCCTTCTCGCACATTCTTCAATGAGATAGGCCGTAGAGTGCACCAAGAGCCGTGGTACATTTGTTTGTGAGGTGTCACAGACAAAAAACAAAGTGTTCATCATATCGTAGCACTAAAGCGGTGATAGGCTGTCGAATCAAGATGGCACTGTTGATCGCAGTATCGGACAATTGAAAAACCACGCCGAGATCCCAGGCTTGGCATGCATACAGGCAACTGCAGCTGCTAAGCTTTAAGGGTTTTACTTTGATTTAAGGTCAAGTAAAATAAATTAACAGACAAAGAGGGAACAAACAAGCAGCAGACAGTCAGATTCAATTCAGGGGAGGACAATCACACCTGATCCAGCTGGCGTCGTTTTCCCAGCTCCACAATACGATTCGTCAACAGCGGCCCTTTGAAGACAACGCCCTTCGGCCAGAACCGCCATGAGCTGTCCTTTTGCCACGGTCCAATCCCGCGCCTTGTCTTTCCCACTTGCGCTCCTTTTTGCCCCCCGCTCCTCTCAACCCTCCCTCCTTTGCCTTCCTGATCACCCACCACATGAGAGCTACTGGCAGTAGCAGCAGCAGCAGATGCGACTGTTTCACGTGAAGGCCTGTGACGCACACTATGAGGCCTTAATGGAAAAGATTCTGGCCGCCGATCACAATTATCTTCGCCCAAGGTAGCTGCTGTCATGCAGATCGCCAATCCAAAGTCCAACCATGTATTTCTATCCTCCCAGCTTCCAGATTTGCCATCCCTGGCAGGCATCCGCTTGCTCTTCCTGCCCTTGCCGAGGGATCGCCATAGCTGGTCATTACGGCAAGTATGGTGGCCAGGGAAAATGTTGCTGCGGGTGTCAACAAAGCGCTCGCACCGCAACATGGCTGTCGAAGAAAACGCTCACACCACGATCATGTTTCATCAAAACAAACCTTGCCGGTTAACTGCACTTCAGCCAAACTGTCTTGCTGCTCATGCGCGAAACACCATCTTGCAGCTGCAAGGGCAATTCGTGGACACCATTTTCAAAACCAAAGCGCGGTTACAAGCAGCTTATGAATTTCATAGCCCCTTTTCGAGGGGATTATCTATTGATCATGCTTGAAGCCCCCATGGTTGGTTAAAAGGGCATGCAAAGTTGGTAAACCCCATTCAATTCTATAGCAACTTCAACAAGTTCTTTCCAGGACAAGCATGTGCTATGCCAAGAAGAACACACCCCAGCTGGCACTGGCTTGCACACTAGGGTGGTGAATAGTGGCCATCAGAGGCAGCGATCTTTTTAACCACCAGTTAACCCGAGGTAAGCTCATGAACCGAAAAAGGAAAAGAGAAAAGAAGAAAAAAAACACCCATCGCCTGACCAGCCCGAAAAGGGGCATTCGGTTTGGCACAAATATTTTTTTAATGGGCCAAAACCATTTTTGTCTATTTTCTATTTTTGTCCCTGATGCAGTGTAACCTAAGCAATATCCCTCATTTTTCAGAATTTTCCATCGCCAGAAATTAGAATAAAAAATCACCAAAGTCATGGGTACTCGGCAATTTCTACACCCCCCCCCGAACACCCCTTGGATCTAGGCCAAAGTGGTGTATTCTTGCCTGGTTCTCAGGCAAGACACCAACTTCAGCTTGGTTAAACTGGCAGTTTGAACCACCAGTTTGTCCACGCCTTGTTTCCCGATGATGATTTCTGCCGAACATCGATGATGACTTCTGCTGCACACCAATCCCTGCCGAACTGATACCGAGTGCGATTTGCCTGGTGAGGCCATCCTTTCCCACCAGGTAGGCCCAACCCCTGATTGTGTGGCTGGTTGAATGCCGTATTGGAACAAAACAGCTGAAGGACCGTTGGTTCCAAGCACCAGTATACGCCAGCTATCGGCCGCGGGCCCCTTTTGGAGGCCGCCCGCGGCTGATCATTTTATCTACGGCGCTCGGCCTCCTAAGTTTTTGGAGAGGCTCAAAACAGGTTCTCCAGTTGCCTGGGGCCATGTACTGGTGGTTTAAAGCTGTTTAAACGACCACTACCATACTGAGCCTGACCTGCCAAACCACCAAGAACCAGTCGCATACCACGGTTTCCGGCAGTTCAGGAGGGGAATTTCTGAGCCTATGTGGTATTGGTCACCACTTTGAGTGGGAAAAAGAGACCCTCTAAAGTGCTGACGGTTTAAATTTTTAAATCCTTTCCCTCACTGTCATGGTGATATGAAATGGGGTGGCTATGTGAATACAGAAGAAAAGAAGTTTAAAGAATAGACAGTCGAAATTCAACCGCTGTACACATGTCATATGCTACGGACGCTTCACCCTGTTTCTTGCATGTACTGAATAGTGCGAGGC